GTGGCCACTGGGCCTAGGCTAGACTTAAGGCATGAACATTCCATGTGTATGTAGGATGAGATTCATTGTTATATTTGTTCATGTCATTTTGCCTAAGTCTAATACATATATCATTTGAGGTTTTTATATTATGTTGTATTTGAAGACTTTGAGTTGTAAAGTGTAATATGCATATGGAGATTGTAAACTGTACCTGAATACTTGATGTAATATGTAAGCATGTAATATGATGGAAGGGCAATAGGCCTATTTTAAGAACATGATTATGTGTATGTTTGGAAGATGCATGCAGTTGGACTTTGATGATTGAAACGTATTAAGTATAAATCCAAGAAGCAATGTGATATGTATTATATAAGTAAAATAAGTTGTGATGAGTTGTAAGTGCCCCAAGGCATTGTTGGTCCTTGTAAGTGCCCCAATTCATTTAGTGAGGGATGTTTGGAGCTGTTTTGGTGTTGGCTGGCAGCTTTGCTTGTCCAACTTCAAAACGGCGATATCCGGAGCAAACGAGATCGAAATGACTCATGTGATGGCTCATTGGGAAGGTATTTAAGTAAGAAAAAAAAGATAACTAAAGTTGAAGGTTTGGTTTTGTGCGGTGTGTCCGCAGGAAATTACTGACCGAACCAGGTTCGATTAGGTAGAAAACGTAAAATTGAGAAATTAGCTAAGTGGGTTTATGGAAACCCGTAGTGTCTTGTAGTAATTAAAATAAGATATAAAAATAGTTCAAACAAGTATTCCGCAAGATTTTACAGTTATGGTCACAGCTTTTATTTATTACGCTTTTTACGGTTTTAAATGCTCGCGTAATAAACGTAAAAAGTTTACTCGCATTTTTATAAAGGAAGTGATGTGATTGTAACTGCGCTTAATATCATAATTAATGTTAACAATACCGGTGTACAATGGGCTGTTACACATTAACCATTCCAGCTTCATCGTATTTTTACTCCCTATGCATCCCTACTTCACTAAATCTCTTGCTTTATCCTTCTTTGATTGTTATAGTACATTGTGGATTTATATCTGAGTGAGCCATTAGGTAGAGTAATCTCCAAAATCTCTGGGTTACTGAGATATATTCGTATATCTCATCCCGTGTTGGAGCATTTATTTCAAGTAGTAGCAGTGAGGCTGGAGCTATGGGCAAGAGGCCCATAGGATGAGCACATAGAGATTTGAACACTTTTTGCATTTTGAGGCCATTTTGGCATAGGCTAGACTTAGGGAATGAACATTGTATATGGATTTAGGATTATTCATGTTGTCATATTTGTTCATGCCATGTTTTTCCTATGTCTAGTTGTATATTTATCATGTTGTATTTGAGGTTATTATGTTGTATCTTGGAGGACTTATTGATTATGTTTTTCATTGGAGAAATGTAATTTGTAAATATTGGACCTTGTGTAATATTGAAGCATGATACACAATGAAAGGGAAATAGGCCTATTTTAAGTTATGATTATGTGTATGTTCAAAAAATGCATGTAAATGGAATAATGTGATTGAAATGGTTTAAGTTTAACAATGTAAGTAATGAATTGCAAAGTGAAGGAAATGATATAAATTGTTGTGGGTTGTAAGAACATCAAGACATTTTTGGTCCTTGAGTGCCACCTTGTCTATTAGGTACCATTTGAGGATAATAACACACTTTTGATAAAGTGCGATAAGTTGAATGAACAAAGGAGATGCAGTCAAATTTTCTATAAAATGGCAGATTTTGGGTGAACTTTGGGAGAGAATATCTCCCTCCAAAGAGGTCCAATAGGGACGTTCCATACACTATTTTGAATATTGAGATGTCAATTATGTTGTGTCAAAATTTGGTAGCCATTGGAGTTGTACGCAGGCCTGTAGAGGTATTTGAGTCCATACTGTTCAGAACGCCTTGCTGCAAGGGATGACGGGAGACCGGTTTTGGAAAATTTATTTCTCCCTCAATTCTTGGTCAAATTAGGCCCATGATATGTCAAATTGAAGCATAATGTGTCCAATTTACTTTATAAAACATTTGAGAGCAATTGGTAGATTAGTTTGATCAGAATCGCAGAAATGATAGTGGCTGTTTGGAGCCCTGTTTGAGGTTGGATGACAGCTTTGCTTGTCTAACTTCAAACGCTGATAACCGGAGCAAACGAGAACTTTATGGAGCGTGTGATAGCTTGTTAGAAAGGTAATTAAGCCTAGAATAATATAATAAAATACGAGAGCCTTGTAACCACTTAATCTCTAGCAATGTCCAGATTACTGAACCATGTTCAGTTATGTAAAAACCGTAAAAGTGAGAATTATGCTAAGGGGGTTTATGGAAACCCCTTAGTGACTTAAGATAAACAATGTTTGACAGTTAAGTAATTATTTTAATTATTTCGCGTTTAAATTTCAGTTACGATCACAGCTTTTATCATTACGTTTTATTATTGATTTTAAATGCTTACGTAATGAAAAGAAAAAAGTTTACTCGCATTTTTATATAAACTGCTATGATTGTAATTGCGTTTAATATCATAATCAATGTTAACAACACCGGTACGTAACGAGCTGTTACACGACTAGCCCATTTACACCCCTAACCGCAATATTTCATTCGATGAAAACACTATTCATCAATTTTCCAGAAACTTGTCTAACCACTCAATTTTTCGTTCTGAATCCATTTTCAATATTATTTTTTATCATTTGAGATCTTATTCTATCATTTTATAGTTTAAGGTTACGTATTTGGTTATTTACCGTTTTACCTTTCTTACGTATTTTGGCCTAGAACTTAGGATTTTCACTAATCATACCCCTTAACCCTCAATTTAATTATAAATGTGTATTTCAAATACATGAGGTGTTATAGGGATTTTTTTTAGATACCCCAAGTGGCACATTTGATGCTTTCCTTTGTAAGAATCCCGAGTACGGAGTGATAACATTTATATGTTGGATTTTGTCCCCTTTGACATAAGAGCATGCTAGGATCATATTTTATGTGTATATAGGGGTGGCAATTTCTGACACGACCCGCTAACCCGACCCGGACCCGACACGAAATTTTCGTGTTTGGGTCAACCCGTTTACTGTTCGGGTCGTGTTCGGGTTGAAGAAAAATGACACGAAAAAATTCGTGTCGGGTTCGGGTCAACCCGTTAACCCGCTCTGACCTGCAAATAATTTTTGTATAAGGTTACTATAGTCATTTTAGTGAGTGATATAAAAAAAATAACATGAACTTAGGGTTTCAAACAACCTTTTTCACTCAGTAGTGGCTTTATTGGATGTATATGCTTTTATTGGATGTAAAATCAATGCCGAAATACATGTTTTGAATGTGAGCATTCTAAAACTCGTGTCAGATCGGGTCGGGTCGAGTCGTGTTAACATGTGTAATAATGGGTCATGGTTACATTATAAGGTTAATCGTGTCGTGTCGTGTCAACCCGTAAAATAAGCGGGTCGTGTTCGGGTTGAGAATTTTGACACGAATAATTAATCGGGTCGTGTTCGGGTTGAAGTTTTTCGTGTCGTGTAAAATTTGGGTCGGGTCGGGTTGACACGAATTGCCACCCCTATGTGTATAGTGCATATTTGTACTTTGGAGAGTTGCATATTTGATCATGTATGTATTTTATGTCAAAGTGGAAGAGACATTGAGTTGTGTATTATTTTGGAGATATTGATGTAATTATTTTGTATAAGCCTTAGTTTACAATTGTTAAATGATGAAGCATAAGGCTTATGACTTGTAAATGTACACACGTTATATGTAATGGGGACACATGTGTAATTTAGGTTTGGTGATGTATTTGAGACTATGATGAGGCATCTTGAGATATAGGTGTATATGGTGAGAGTACTATAATGGTCAATCAGGTACTTTTGGAGCAAAGAAGTGGGATAATGTATTCCTTGATTGGTGGTGTAAAAGGGAGATGTTATTTTTTTCAAAATAGGGTATGCTCGCTGAAGTGAGCAATCCAGTGAGCAAGCCCCTGATGATGGCACTAGCTTCGGTTTGTGAAATTAATTGCTCCCTACCTTTCTCGCTTAAGCAAGCAGCTTAGCGAGGAAGGGTGCGACTCGCTGATTTTGCTCGCTTAAGCAAGCATATTAGCAAGCAGCGTTTGGATTAGATACTTAATTTTGATCACCTTGTAAGTTTATGGGGGTTACTGGGTGCATAATATTAGGCTAAATGTAAAATAGTTCCGCATGATTTATAGGTTGCAAAAATATAATTGAATTATTGAAATATGGAATTCATGTTTAGGCAAAGGAAAGTAAAATGAAAAGAATTTATTTGTAACTTTAATTCTAATACTATGATTGCAACTGCACTTAATATCATTAATAATATTAATAATTCAGTTCTAAAACGGGATATTACATAATCAAACACCCATAGAATCATATATTGAATATCATAATTAAGAAATAATCACATCATTTAAACAAATGATTGCATCATTACTATATATATAATTACAATAAGAATGAAGTAAGAAACTTTTATAATCTCTTAATATTATTCTTAAATTAACATAATTGTGATTAATTATTGTTATTATTATCAATAAATAGCTTTTTTATTTTATTTTTTTAAGTTTTTCCCCCCAGAAAATTCACATTCTCTCTTCCCCAAAATCTGCCTTTCTGTCTAATTTTTTTCATCACCAAATGTTTCCCTCTTCTCGTACAAATTTCACCGTCCTTCTTTTTCCCTAATCAACATTCTCTTTCCATCCTTCACTATTACATAGCGCGCGCACCCAGCAACATGTAACACGCTAGTCCCTCTAACAACAAAATCTCAACATAACATGCAAGATACTGCATAACAGTCAAAGAGATCTTAACTTCAATTTTGGTCTATTGCAGTTCATTGCTGCTGAAATGTCATTTGCTGTGTTACTTTTATATGATTTTGATTTTTGAATCATACTGTAGTTACAAAGATATGTTTTACTGTCGAATCATGCAATGCGTTTTGCATATTAAAACCATAGTTTAATAAGAATCCAATTGGGATACTAAATCCAAAACCCCAGCAATTTTTCGAAATTCAAAACCCGCCAAAGAACCACTTTTTCTTTTTCTCCCTTTTGCCTCACCTTGTTCTTCCCGAAGTTCCAAGGTTCTTGTTCCTAACATGTCTACTTCTGTTAGTCAAGAATCTGAGTCAGCGCCGCCACAGATCTACTCCCGAAAAGACAAGTCTCTCGGATTGCTTTGCTCCAAGTAAGAAAATTTGGATCTTTCTTTTTTAATATTCTTTCTAAGCTTTCAAATTTCTCTATGTTGATGTAAATATGATTTCTTTGCAATCAGCTTCTTGAAGTTGTACAATCGCGAAGGAAGTGAGATGATTGAACTCGACGATGCTGCTGCCCGACTAGGTTTTTGTATTCTTTGAATTTCGATCTGTTTCATTTTCTTTGTTTGGTTGCTGAGAAAATGCAAGAAAGATTTAACCTTATTCTGAGTCGTTGTTGCTTTTTCCTGTGCAATTGGTTTTCTGATTCTGATATGAACAACCCATTTTGGATTTTCAGGTGTTCAGCGTCGCCGCATGTATGATGTAGTCAACATTTTGGAGAGCGTTGGGGTAAATTATGCTTTTATATTCTTGGTTTTGCCATAAGTTTTTTTTTTTTTTTTAGATATTTATCTTACTGTAATTGGTCTTTGGTGACCCCTAGATTGTAGCAAGAAAAGCTAGGAACATATATTCATGGAAAGGTTTCAAAGAGATTCCTCGGGCTTTAGAAGAGCTCAAGGTAGAAAAACATTTCACTCTTATCATTTGTTTTGTTTGAATCTTGTCAAAAATTGGGAGATGATGTGTACTGTATTGTCTACACAGGAGGAGGTTCAGAGAGAAAATTTAGATGCAGCATACTATCCACATATCCACTCAAAGAATGCGACAGAGGTGTTGCCATCTTTGACATAATTTAAATAAACTTAATAACATTTTCAAAAAAACTTGATCAAATCGGTTGATTTTACCAGTTTCTTGTATTTGCATTTCTATTTTCTAGAAAATTATATCATTTAAGTTAAATATTTGCCAGGCTTTGAATAACAAAGAAAATGGTGGGTCTGAAATTGATACCAAGAACAATCCCTTGGCATCATTTCAAACTGGTAACCTCTTATCCTTCCTTGCTCTGACACTAGATGTTGCAATATGAATGACTAGCATTTTATATTGTTTATTTGTATTTGTTTGTGCGGTTAAATATGCTTCAATTTTTGTCGTGGACTGGTTAACTAACAATCTTGTTTGTATATGAGTTTTGTTACTAACTTGAAGTATTCCTATCTATAGATTGCAGAAGAGACAAATCGCTTGCATTTCTGACACAGAATTTTATAAAGCTTTTCCTTTTTTCAGATGTATGTAAAATTTTTATGGTTTTCATCAACACACTCTTCTTATATTATTCATTAGTTGTTTAATTGATTCAGTGCTACAATCTCTTTCTACAGGTGGAGTTAGTTTTGCTTGAAGATGCTGCAACAAAAATGCCAGGCGATTCCCGGAATTCAATTGCTCTCAGAAGTAACGAAATTTTCAACTTGAGTGTGAATTTAACTTTATATTATTAAAGAGTAAAAAATAAAGAAATGAAGTAATGACTTTCATGGTTCATTCCTACATTATTTTGCAGCAAAAATCAGACGCCTATATGATATCGCCAATGTCCTTTCCACCATCAATCTGATTGAGAAGGTAATGCATACGGTCTACCAATAATTCATAAGCTTCCAAAAATGAAAATAAATGACGGACCTAATTCATGATGACAGCTTTTACTGGTGATTTTTGTTTTTCAAAATTTTGCAGACTAATAGTCCTGGGCATAGGAAAACAGCATATAGGTGGTTGGGATGGAAAGCCATTACAGGATCTGATGATGCTTTGGATAAGAATGCTTCCAAGAAAAGAGTGTTTGGAGCTGAAATTACGAATTGTAGTTTAAAGAGGAATAAAGCAGATTCTTTAATGGATCCGGATTTTCAAAAGAAAAGGTCATACGTTTATAATAAGGCACATGACTTGGAAAACACTTACAATGATGGAATCTTGAAGCAGCAACCCAGTGGCTATTCAAAAGCCGTAGATTTTGGTCCTTTTGCCCCCAACAAATTTTAAGAGAAGATCCAGAGCATAGGAATGAGACTCATGACTTGACAATGAGCTCCGAATGATTTCCTGATCATCATAAAACAGGTGATTTCTAAATATCACCCTATCAGTGGGAAGGATTCACCTTTTCACAGTGCACAGTTAGATGGTCAAATGAATTTAGTTGATCTACCTATGTGCTCCACAAATTATTAAAGCCGGTTTTGATAATTTTCTTTCAGTCCTTTCTTCTTGTATTAGAAGGCATACATAAAAATGCCTTATGGTCTATGGAGTATGTAATCTAAAATCTGTTTTTCTGATTTAACTTCAAGTGAAAATTTGCTCAATTTTGTCCTGGATGACGGTTTGTCTTATCCCCCTCCCAGCAATGTGCAGTCTAATGTTGAATGAGATCTTCAATTTGAGTTGTGCATTTGTTTTCACTTGAAACTTTTTATCACATTTCATTCAAAGACTCGTTATCTTCATTAGTGCATGGGCAAAAAAATTAAAATAATGTAATTAATTAAAATAATTACGCATTTAATGCTGTTTTGTTAAAAATTACACATTTGTTGCACAATGAGATGACGCCCAAAGAGGGTGTCTCATGTGCAACCTATATATACCCCACTTTCCTTTTTTCACTCCTTACTCATTTACCTCTCTAACCTCTCTCTAACCGCGGTTCGTAGCGAAGCTCTGCCAACGTAGGTAAGGTCATAATACCTCATATGTATACATTTAAATTACAGTGCTAGTTAGTAATACATGTTAGGATTGATTGTATATTAGAGACTTGGAACATTAGGATAGTCACTTAGAAATTTAGTGTCATGCTATGAATGTTGTAATGATATAGTAATATTATTATTACGTAGTTATTATTATCATCCCTGCATTGAAGAGGATATCAGTGCCTCGATAACATCGAACGAATTTAATCACACATTTGTGTTCAATGACACATATAAAATACAAAAAGGTACCTATCACGAGATCTGCAATAACGTCCGCATCGAGCTGTCTATGACCCTGGGAAATGTGCTCATTCACACATTCGTGTTTTCCACCCCATCTCGTTATTTTGCAATTTTCACCGAACACCGGTTTGATCGCCCTTACGCGCCACGGACAACCTTGATCGTACGCACAACATTTCATGGACAACTTTGCAGGCGTGCTCTCAATTACAATGGCTTCTTGATGCTCCCTAATAAGGTTGTGCTTAAGTGCCATTTGGACATCTTTTTTTGTCGCAAATTCTTGATTGACAAATAACATGTCACCCAGTTGCCACGGACCTTGTATTGAAGCCGATCCAGACACCGAACCATCAGTACATGATTCTTGTTCGCTCTGATAACTCCAATCAATGTAAGAATAATGCAGAATTCCTTCCCAAAAAGGAATAACATCTGTGTCACCTGCAATTGTGGATTATAATTTTTTAATACGAACTTACTAATTCAGGTATTAAATCAGTTATTTATTCACGCAGTATACAAATGGGAACAATTACCTTCTTGTGGAATACCAAACGGAGCAGACGCAACGTCATTCAACTGCGGCATTTGCGCGACGACTGGTTGATGGAATATTGGAATTTCAGACGCACCCATCTCACGAGATTCATCTCCTTCTGAAGCACTAGCATCCTCCGCCAGAAGATGTTCTTCCATTGCCATATTTTCATCGTCATCTTCGTCGTGCATTTCCCAAGTCGGATCATTTTCATCTCCCTCAGAAAAGTTACCAACTAGAGACGCATGAGCGGCAGGAGAAGCTGGAAGACGGGGAGAACTTAAATAAACTGACCTCACCGGTATGGGAGCATTCTCCGTTGCGACGATGTCAACATACAACTCTAGAAAATCTGTCCTTGACTGATTGCAAAATTCTTCCATTGTCATCTCCAAGTCTTCATCGTCAAACACTTTCAAACTAATGTATTTATCATTTTACCACACCCTTGTCGTGATCTCAGTGATACATTGGTTGTCTTGAAGACTTAACTTCTGTCGAATTCTCTGATGCAGTTCGCCAATGGTTGTGTTGCGTTGGATACGTGTCGGCCTTTTTTCACCTTCGAATATGACACCTCGTCTACCTTCTACCTTCCTACCATTGTAATATAACACAACACGAACAGAATCAGGATTTGAGCTCATTTTTAAATAGAATTACAACTAAAATTCAAATACTAAATTAAAGATAAAGGAATGTTGGTGGAGAAGAGAGATATGAAGAGTGAGATAAGAGGTGTGAATTGAATGGAGGGGGTGAGGAAATATATAGAGAACACATGTGACGCCAGTTTTGGGCGTCACATGTGACGCCCCATTGGGGCGTCTTATCCATAGGAGAGACGCCCCAATGGGGCATCACATGTGACGCCCAAAACTGGCGTCACATTGTGCAGTAAATGTGTAATTTTTTACGAAACAGCATTAAATGCGTAATTATTTAATTTAAATACATTATTTTAATTTTTTTGCCTTAGTGCATGAGTAACACCCGTATTTTACACGTTGTGTCCTACTTTCTAATTTGTGACTATCTATTACGTTTAATTGTTCTGGTATTTATCTGAGTGTTAAGGTTCTTAACTTAGGAAATTTCCAAGAACTACTTATAAAAATCAGCCATATGTTGGTTTTTCTTGATGAAGATTGTAGCATGCTTATCAATGTGTTTGTGCTTTGTATGTCATGGGATTATAGGGGACGGGTTTTGCTGTTGATGTGGCAGCTCTGAGCAAGCACTTTGCTCATTACAAGGAGGCACGGAAGTCATTCATCTAGAGTTTCCTACTTCTCATTACTGAACATGAATGCTTACTGATTGGATTTATTTTCATGCCCTTACTTAATTGTCTCTACACCCAAGTGGAAAGAGTTTTCATTTTTAGTGACAAGAATATCATATACTGGACATATTCTCTTGATATTCCAAGTAAATAGCTGTTAGCCAGTTACTAAGGTAGCATAAACTTGTTATAGCCTCGTAAGCATCTCTCACTATCATTTTGTTGATTGGAAATTCTATATCTGGTTAGAGAAGTCATAATTGGCAAGTAAATTAATGAAATTTAAAGGCACATTATTTGTAATTTTTTGAAGAACTTGAAACAAAGTTGTTTTAGTGTTTTTTTTTTCACAGAAAATTGAACATAATAGATTCTGAAAAGAAAAAAAAAAGATATAAAAAAGTTATAGCATAGAAGCATATATATATATATATATTTAAATATTGAAATAAACGCAGCGAAATTCTGTCTTCAGTTTTCTCCGCGGTTGTATTTGTATGTTATTTTGTCAATGATGTTAGTTGCCTGCTAGTTTCACATATACATGCATAAATGTATCGTGTATGTAAATATATATTACATTAAATATTTATGTGTTTGTAAATGAATGTGAAAATATATAATTGTGTTTATCATACTTTTTTAATACTAATTTTGAATACTTTTTTTCCATGTTTTTTAGTTATGGAAGATTAAATCATGAATATTGTTTTGTACTCACATAATGGGTCTCACTGACCTTATCAAATATGGGTTTTTCATCTTCAGGTAAACCCTCACTATAAACAAAGGATTAAACTTCAAAGGTATACACACTTAAAAAACCCTACTCTCTTTATTGTTATTGTTCGCATGCACTACCTTTATTGTCTTCAAGCCTCTTATCTTGAGCATAATGATCTGCCATGTCTCGCAACTGTCTCCTCCATAGATATTGCTAGTATTTAGATCCCACATTAATCACGATTCCCATCCAATTATAGTGAACATGTAGAACATAATGCACAACAACCAGCCATTGCAATAGCCACCGTAACTGCAACAAAGAGTGCAACAACAACAGCCACCAAATAATGCAAGGGAAACGAATCACATAGGTGTTGATGAAGGAGATTCTATCATTGCTTCTGTCCCACGAGCCTAGCCCATTCCCACAACCATTGCCCAGCTTAGTGATCCAAAACTCATCGTGAACTTTGCATTAATATAACAATATTAAAATTCTTTATTAAATGAGTGGCTTAGTCGTGACGTCTTGCTAACTTTATGACATTCATTGGAGTAATTTTATCTATGACAGTTTGATGATTCAAAATGGCCAAATTTAATGAATCTTCTAAACTAAGGTATCATTTTAAAAAAATTAAGTTAACCAACCCACGTACATATTTTCTAAGAACGACGTAACTTTGAATTCCTCATTGTTTAGTTTTACTTTTTTTAAATAACCGTATGTTTTTTAGGAATAAAGAAAATATTTCTAAAAATTATTATAATTTACACTGTTGACTTAAGGTAATCATTTTAAATGGATGTATCGAGGGTGCAGTGGGATAAAGTTTCCACCCTTCCATATACATAATTAGACTCCTGAACCTCGATCTAAAATTTTAAAGATGAGTTTTCAATAAAATGGTTTTCCAAATTTTCCTAATCTAATAAAATTGGTGGCGACTCCATTTTTTTTTTCTTGAATAAATTTTGGGTTGTTACAATGACTATTCATAGATGGTAGATTCAAGAGCATCTTTCCATGTCACTCCACATCAAGGGTTTTTCTCATCGTATCAAAGTGACGATTTTGGTATTGCAAAGATGGGTAACTAGGTTACCAACAAAATAGTCGGAATTGGAGAAGTCACCTTGACAATAGATATCGGATGCAAATTGATTCTGAAGAGGTGAGACAAGTTCCCGATATGCATCTCAACCTAATCTTGGCAGGAAAACCTAGATGAAGTCGGACTAGTGAAGTACTTTGGTGCAGGCAAATGGAAATTTGCTAAAGGATCCTTGTATGTTATGCAAGGTAAGGTCAGCAGCGAACAAACAAAAGTTGTTCCAAATGATTCAAGTTTGGAGCTCTGGCATAGGTTTGTTAGTATATATGTAACACCCTGTTACGTACCGGTAATGTTTATCATCACATATGATATGAAGTGCAGTTACAATTATAACAGTTCATTTAAAAATAGGAAAAACTTTTTCTTCTAAAATCATTTACAATTATTCTTGCACTTCTGAAAACATCTGTATTAAACAATTTGCAAATTGTGATCGTAACTCAAAACTAATATGGAGATATAAAAACCAAAGCTTATCTATCATACATCACCTATTTAAGGTTGCTAGGTGGTTCCCATAAACCAACAAAGCAAAAATACCCAACTTGACATTTTCCAAAC